TAGCTCCGCCATTGCTAGCCTTCTAGCTTGATCAGGCAGAGTTGACGGCCGCATGTCGTTACCTTGTTGAAGGTGTTGGTTCGAAGATCTGCTTCAGGGATGATAGCCCTTGCTCTGACAACTAGTTGGACCATCCAACTTCGGCTTGCGAGCAGTGATTCCCTCTTGAAGACGTTGTGTGTTGCGCCCTCTGTCTATTGCTATATCGCCCGTTGGTTTGATAGTAGGATTTTATGATATTGTTAAGATGATTTTTCTATATGGATGGCCTTGAGTTTTTTAGTTTATTTTGTAAGCCGGCATGTTCGATGCATGGGAGTTCATCCTCCTTGAAAACAAAATGATTTCACATTTCACTTGTCAACATACTTGCGAATATAGCTAGCTCCTGCAGGCTTTGCCACATTGGCAGTGTCTCGAGTCTTGGGAATCTTCTAGTAAATCTCAAAGCATCAATACCCTGCGAAATTAGTTTTCTTACAGTAATATTATGGTTCAGAGGAAGACTGTATAAAACCTAACAAATCTTTGACGCAAAGGTTTGTGTCCTATCCATGCATCCTCTCAGAATCATGTTTTTTACCATCACCTACAACCCTTTGACAACAGGAGTAAAAGTATATATTTGACTTCCATGATATCATGTCGGAAATGTGAACGAGAAGCTAATGATTCGCATTTCTTGTATAACCACTTACACAACAAAGTGTTTCATGATCAAACACAGTAATTTCCGTCAGACAGTAACTAAACTCCACATGGTCGAAACTTTTCTACTCTACATGGTCAAACCACAGTATTTCTAGGTGCAATAATTGGTCAAAAACTTCGAACATGAGCTTCACGCTGCACTTTGAACATATTTATGTTGCATTTCTTGGCCTTATTTCCAACAAATAGCCTGTCGTATGTGCTGGTTAAGCTTAGAAGCATAGGGGCGTTTACTTTATTTATTCTTCCTGGTGTTTACAAGTTTCAGTTTATGTTACACGCAATGGAGACGAGCTAAACCAGCGTTGGCACCAGACGTAGGCTTTTGCTTGACCCACAAATGTTTACATCCTCTTCCTCGGGCGAGTCATCATGGCCATGAAGTCATCCATGTCCACGAACCCGTCATGGTTCCTGTCGATCTCCTTCACCATCCTCCGGCAGTCCTCAAGGCTGCAGCTGTCCCCGAGCCTGCGCAGGACGTCCATCACCTCCTCCGCGGTGATCCTGCCGTCCCTGTCCCTGTCGAACACGAAGAAGGCCCGGCGTATGTCGCCCAGCTGGACGCCGTTCCTGTGCACCTCCATGAACTCCTCCAGGTCCATGTACCCGTCCTTGTTGCTGTCGGCGGCGCAGACCATGCGCCGCGCCTCGCCCGCGGCGTCCGCCTTCTCGAACCTCTGCAGGAGCACCTGGAGGTCGCTCCTCGAGATCCGGCCAGGCTCGCCGGCGATCTTGTCGAACACCTTGGCCATCTCCTCCTCGTCAGGCTTGTACATCATCAGGTCCGACTGCTGCCGGTCCCTGGCGGACAGCAGCCGTCCGGCCGGCCGGGAGGGCTTGAACCGGAGCTTCGCTAGATTGTATTTGAAGGTCAGGATGCTCAGGTGCGACATGTTGCAGATGATTTGCTGCAGCTCCCGACAAATGATGGAGAAGGCTATAACTGGTCTGTCCAGGCAGCTTCTGCGTGCCCTTGATGAAGGTTTATAGGTACTGTTGTGTGCTGAACAGAGCTAAGGTGGCCGGAATACAAATGCCTGATAGCTGCAGAAAGTTGCAGAAGTTGGGATTCCTCTCTAGAACTTGCACTGAAAGGAACCTCGAACCAAAAAAGAGGGCAAAGATGGACCAGATAAACATTGCAAACCAAGAATCTCATCCAAGCTGCTCGGTGGGGCAATACATGCCAAAAGGTTCCTTGAGAACTGGTCCAAAGCGATTTCTTATATTTTATTCTTTCCTTCTTTGTGAATTTTCATCATACATCTGTAAGTGAAGAATAAGAGCGTGTACAATAACTAGACAGAAAAAGAAAAGTTTACAATGCTTAAAGAATGGCATCCTGTCCTGTACCGTGCCTGAAACAGAAATTGTGTAGTGAAAAGAATCACATGTAGTAAACACAATCTATTCAACGCCAGTTAATAAAATTACCGCCCCCAAACAGACAGCACCGACAAATTATGGTGGTCTCCCATTGTCTAACTCATCCAGATTTTCAGCCCCCTCTCGGTATGTAATTTTCCGAACATAGCCTACAAAACAAACAAGATGCCATCCAATAGGCACAAAAAGAAGTCAGCACCTAGATCTCTTTCAGAAGGAATGTACTGAATGCCATAGCAGGAAAAAAAAAGGATCATGGTATGAACAAGATGTCAAGAATTTATCCCCACAAGCTCTACTGGAAGGTCTTATTAGCCTGAGCTATTTACAGTTCCATGACAAACAAAGCCTACACAATCTGGCAGCATCAGCCAACAATCATGACAACTACCCATCCACTGGCCAAAAAGGAATACAATTATGTAAGACACCTCCAGGTCATGTGCAGATCTCATCAGCAGCTTAACCTTCCATGTATCAGCCTATCAGGTCAGAATAGTTGCAGTACTAGTTGTGGTCGTTATTAGTTAATATCACATTACAGTTAAGTACAACATTTGATGCATTTCAGGGTTCCGCTAGAAAAAGAAAAACAGCTGAGTAATCTGATGACATATCAATGCGTTGTGGTTCAGATTAAGACAGGCACCCCCTTCCCCCTTGTACCTTTTAGCATTTTTGCACCTTTTCCAACATCTTCGATAGTCCGTAGTATATAGCATAACCTCCCACTACCCTTGGTTAGGCTCAAGGAATCTGGATTCTGTAAACAAATTCAAGAGCCAGAACAGGTGGGGATGCACTATGAATGAAGAGATCGTGGATCCTTCCAGATTGAGGTCGACGTCGGCAGTAATTGGCATGGACACAACATGGCCTTGAGAACTGTCGAGTTCCATATGTGTGGGTTAACTAGCTTAGATTTGACGAGCTGGTCGAGGACTCAAATCCAAACATAGCTTATCTTCCGTCTAATCAACTTCCTATCCAAGTTCCCACTACCCGAAAATCCCAAATTCACACTCCCCGTTCTCATATTTGCTACTTTTGCTTTTCTGCTCGTTTCTAGGTTCTTGGGCGCTTGCTAGTGAAATTAGTTGTACAATAATCGGCAGAAGATGTATGGGTAGCCATACTACCTAATATCACAATTTTGACTTTTGAGAAGAATGAATATGTGCAGTAGGTGGGGCCTCTATTGGAGGGTTTGTATAATAGCGTGTGCCATTCTTGATATTTCTTTAGCTTATATGCAATTTTATTATTAATCAAAATACATGTTGGTAGGAACCGGATCCCTACCAGGGCATGGTCTCAGATTGTAGGGGTGGGAGGGATGGAGTGGAGGAAGGCGTGGTCGCCGGCTCTGGGGCGCCGTCGTTGCGTGCGCGCGCGAGAGAGAGAGCAGGGCGGCGGCTAGGGTTAGGTCTCCCGGCTCCCTAAGGAAGCCGAGCAAATATGATTGCTTTTTGCTTACCCCCAAAACGGGTCCTTACACGAGTTTATATAATCCTCCTAATAAGATAATTGGGCTAAGCCCCTAATAACGATGTGATAAACTGGGTTAAGCCCCTAATATGCCGGTCATAACATCTCTCCCCGCCTGCACAAACAGCTCGTCCTCGAGCTAGACTAGAAGGCGAGGAAGATCAACGGTCGCCAAACACCTCCGCGTCAACTGGGGCGGGCTGGTCGCCGAGCCCGGCGGCAGCAGGGTCCTCCTCAATGTAGTCTGCAGCCTCCAGGTAGAAGAGTCGTGGGCAGACGTGGCCCGATACGTAGGGCTCGTCGCAGTTGAAGAACAACCCTTGGCGGCGACCCTTGAGTTGCTCGGCCAGGGTGAGCCGGCGGAACGGGCGTGCCGCAGCCGCGGCGAGGGGCGCCATGGACTAGAAAGCATGGACACGGCAGGAATTGCCGATCTGCCGTTCTGATACGGCGGGATACGGGGACACGGCGGGATACGGCAGGATACGCGTGTCCCCCAGTATCCCCTGATTTTCGATTAAAAATAAAGAAAAAAATGAGGGGATACGGTGGGATACGTCCGTGACACGGTTGGGATACGGCCTGGCCCAATAACAGGCCCAAAACGAAACCCTATGTTTTACATGAGTCGCACGCATCTCTTCCACACAAAAGCGATGTGCTCCCAGGTAGCAGCCTCTCCTGGATCGAAGCCGCCACCTCCTGGATCGAAGCCACCGCCGCCTGGACTCAACGCCGCCGCCGGCGGCGACACCTGCACTCGACCGGCGACTGCTACCCCACAGCACCAGCAGGCAGCAGCCTCTCCTCCCAACGGCAGGTAACCCTCCCCAATCTCCAAACCCAGCAGCCTCTCCTCAACTTCTTCATCTCTTTTATTCTGATTCCTTCCATTGAACTAATGGATGGTGTGCTTGCTGCTCTTTGAATGATTGTAGTAATCATGCTGCTATTTCAATGCTTGTGCTGCCGGCCTGCTGCCGCTGCTGCTGACTTGCTGTTGCCTGTTGCTACCCATGTCATGTTTGCTAGTTGCTAGTTGAATGCTTGTGCTGCTGTTGAACTTGAATGATGATTGATGAATACTTGCTCCTTGTACTGCTTGATGTTAGGTTGCATGGCATGGGGGGATGAGGATCAATCAAGGACTTGATAAAAAGAGACATCAAATGGGGCAGGATTCTCTATTTTGATTTCTTTCTCATTAATTTTCTGTCTTAACTCTATATTACATGGCATATTTTTATTTTATTTTATATATACTCGCCGTATCCCCGAATGGCTGTTTCTGAAAAATGCCGTATCCCGTATCCCCGTATGCGTATCCTCGTCTTTCCGTCCCCGTGTCCGTGCTTTTTAGGCCATGGAAGCCTGGGCAGGCCGACCCTGCGCGGGAACTTCCGGCCAGGGTGGCGGCCCAACGGCCCGGGGCGGTGGCGCCTGCTGGATGGCCACCGCGCGACACTCGAATGAGCGGCCGTAGTACATGGCCGTCTGGAGGTCCTGTGGCCCGCGCATCTCCACGCCCACGCGGATGTGGTCCGATAGACCGCCGACGAAGAGCTCAGCCCACTCACGAGCCGAAATGCCTGGGGCGTGGCCGCCAGTGCCAGGAAGCGGTCGGCAAAGTCTTGCACCGAGGTGAGGAATAGAAGACGGCCAAGCTCCGCCAGATGGCTCCCGTGTATAGGCGGACCGAAGCGCAAGAGGCACAAATCGCGAAAGCGCTCCCATGATGGCATGCCGCCCTCGTCCTGTTTGAGGGCGTAGTACCACGTCTAAGCGGCTCCTTGGAGATGATACGAGGCGATCCAGGTGCGGTCGGATGCGAGCATGCGCTGTCCCCTGAAAAATTGGTCGCATTGGTTGAGCCAATTCAGGGGGTCGACGGTGCCGTCGTAGGTCGCGAACTCCAGCTTGGAGAATCTCGGCAGCGTCTGGACGTGGACGACGGGCGGGTGCGCCTCGTCAGCACGAAGCAGCGAGGATAATGGGGTCGAGTAGGCGGGCATCAGGGTGCCGCCCTGGAACAGGGGCCCGTCGACGCTGGCGAAGGGCTCGGCGGAGCCTGAGGACCCGCCAAACTGCATGGCCGGGTGCGTCGCCGGCGGGGGCAGCACGTGCGGCCCGACCGAGGCCGTCCTGTAGACCGGCTCAAGGGACCCAGCGAGCCAAGCCGGTAACGGAGACGGCGACGGGGGAAACCGGACCTGGTGGATGGGCACCCCCGGGCCCATCGTCGAGATGCCCAGGGCCGCGGTCGCCAGTGACGGCGGCTGCAGCTGTTGCCCCTGCTGCATGGTGGAGGCGCCGGGGTTCGTCGCTGGTGGCAGCTGCTGCGGGGCGTCGGCGACGGGGTCGCCGAGGATGGCGGCTGCTGCGGTGGCGAAGGGCACAGGCGGCTGCGGCCCATAGGATCTTGCGAGGAATGTGTAGATGCCCGTGACCGCCTGGGTGAAATCCCGGATGGCAGCCGTCAGCTCCTTCAGGGTGAAGACGACGGGGACGGGCGCGGCGGAGGTGACCGGCACCAGCAAGAGCGGGGCACTGGTCGTGGTGGCCATCGGGGCGGTCGTCGCGGTCGGCAGCGGGAGGGTCGGGGTGGGTGGCGGCGAGGACATGATCGCACCGAAGCTATCTGATACCAAATTGGTAGGAATCAGATCCCTACCAAGGTGTGGTCTCAGATTGTAGGGGTGGAAGGAGGGATGGCGTGGAGGAAGGCGTGGTCGCCGGCGCTAGGGCGCCGTCGTTGCGTGCGCGCGCGTGAGAGAGAGAGAGAGAGAGAGAGAGCAGGGCGGCGGCTAGGGTTAGGTCTCCCGACTCCCTAAGGAAGCCGAGCAAATATGATTGCATCTTGCTTACCCCAAAAATGGGTCCTTACACGAGTTTATATAATCCCCCTAGTAAGATAATTGGGCTAAGCCCCTAATAACGATAAGATAAACTGGGCCATAACTAACTGGGCTAAGCCCCTAATATGCCGGTCATAACACATGTCTTATCTATGTAAAATATA